CCCATTATTCACGAAATTTCGGAGGCAATGTTTATAATAAACCCCTCTCATCTGCAAATGGTCAGTTCAAATTTACCGACACTTTGTGAAAACCCTACGACGAAACTAGGATAGGCCGCGTCGTCTTCCGCTTTTGCTATACGAAAGGTCTTGTAACGTGACCACCCGACCGAACGCGATTAACTCGAAATATACCGCATGTTTCGTTGACTGTAGGTCTAGTGCACCATCAAAAAGCTACCAGAAGGCCCATGAGGCCTCCATTGGCGGTCTAGTAGGCTGTTTGTCTCGTCGACTGTAGATAGTGAACCATCCACAAGCTAACAGAAGGCCCACGAGGCCTCCATTGGCGGTCTAGTAGGCTGTCTGTCTCGTCGACTGTAGATGTAGTAAACCACCAAAAAGCTACCAGAAGGCCCTCGACGCCTCCATTGATGGTCTAGAAGCTGTATGTCACGTCGACTGTAGATGTAGTGAACCATTCAAAAGCTACCAGAAGGTCAAAGAGGCCTCCATTGACGGTCTAGTAGGCTGTCTGTTTCGTCGACTGTAGATGTAGTAAACCATCGAAAAGCTACCAGAAGGCCCATGAGGCCTCCTTTGAGGGTCTAGTAGGCTGTCTGTCTCGTCGACTGTAGATGTAGTGAACCATCCAAAAGCTACCAGAAGGCCCATGAGGCCTCCTTTGAGGGTCTAGTAGGCTGTCTGTTTCGTCGACTGTAGATGTAGTGAACCATCCAAAAGCTACCAGAAGGCCCATGAGGCCTCCTTTGAGGGTCTAGTAGGCTGTCTGTCTCGTCGACTGTAGATGAAGTGAACCATCCAAAAGCTACCAGAAGGCCCACGAAGCCTCCTTTGAGGGTCTAGTAGGCTGTCTGTCTCGTCGACTGTAGATGTAGTGAACCATCCAAAAGCTACCAGAAGGCTCATGAGGCCTCCTTTGAAGGTCTAGTAGGCTGTCTGTCTCGTCGACTGTAGATGTAGTGAACCATCAAAAAGCTACCAGAAGGCCCATGAGGCCTCCTTTGAGGGTCTAGTAGGCTGTCTGTCTCGTCGACTGTAGATGTAGTGAACCATCTAAAAGCTACCAGAAGGCCCATGAGGCCTCCTTTGAGGGTCTAGTAGGCTGTCTGTCTCGTCGACTGTAGATGTAGTGAACCATCCAAAAGCTACCAGAAGGCCCATGAGGCCTCCTTTGAAGGTCTAGTAGGCTGTCTGTCTCGTTGACTGTAGATGTAGTGAACCATCCAAAAGCTACCAGAAGGCCCATGAGGCCTCCTTTGAGGGTCTAGTAGGCTGTCTGTCTCGTCGACTGTAGATGTAGTGAACCATTCAAAAGCTACCAGAAGGTCAAAGAGGCCTCCATTGACGGTCTAGTAGGCTGTCTGTTTCGTCGACTGTAGATGTAGTGAAACATCTAAAAGCTACCAGAAGGCCTATGAGGCCTCCTTTGAGGGTCTAGTAGGCTGTCTGTCTCGTCGACTGTAGATGTAGTGAACCATCCAAAAGCTACCAGAAGGCCCACGAAGCCTCCTTTGAGGGTCTAGTAGGCTGTCTGTCTCGTCGACTGTAGATGAAGTGAACCATCCAAAAGCTACCAGAAGGCCCATGAGGCCTCCTTTGAAGGTCTAGTAGGCTGTCTGTCTCGTCGACTGTAGATGTAGTGAACCATCCAAAAGCTACCAGAAGGCCCATGAGGCCTCCTTTGAAGGTCTAGTAGGCTGTCTGTCTCATCGACTGTAGATGTAGTGAAACATCTAAAAGCTACCAGAAGGCCTATGAGGCCTCCTTTGAGGGTCTAGTAGGCTGTCTGTCTCGTCGACTGTAGATGTAGTGAACCATCCAAAAGCTACCAGAAGGCCCACGAAGCCTCCTTTGAGGGTCTAGTAGGCTGTCTGTCTCGTCGACTGTAGATGTAGTGAACCATCCAAAAGCTACCAGAAGGCCCACGAAGCCTCCTTTGAGGGTCTAGTAGGCTGTCTGTCTCGTCGACTGTAGATGAAGTGAACCATCCAAAAGCTACCAGAAGGCCCATGAAGCCTCCTTTGAGGGTCTAGTAGGCTGTCTGTCTCGTCGACTGTAGATGTAGTGAACCATCCAAAAGCTACCAGAAGGCCCACGGGGCCTCCATTGACGGTCTAGTAGGCTGTATGTGTCGTCGGCTGTAGATGCAGTGAACCATCAAAAAGCTACTTGATGGTCTAGGAACTCTTATTACTATGTTGTTTTGATTCAAAAGGGATTCTTTTTTGTTTTTTTTTACAGAAACGAGGATCGATAGAAGCAAATATACAGTTGAATCAAGGTTGAAAGCATATCCAACTTTTAATAGACTTTTCATTTTATGCAAAATGTTAAGTAAGTATCTGATAGAAAGGTTGGAATACCAATGGATTACATTTTTCCCTATCCTTACTTTAAAGCTGATCGAAAAATCCAGTATGGTGAGAAGATACATATACATTGAAAACTACATTGTTTTTGCTTGTGGATTCCATTTTTCATGACGTAGTACAGAAGTGAGGACAGGAGCTATAAAGTAATTGTAGCTGAATACAGAACTTCTCCCTGTTACATATCAGGCATGTACTGGGATCTGCCATCAGTACATACCTATATTTATTATTCATCTCTTTTCATATCGATATCAATGCACAAACTAGTGCATCAGTGTATGCTTGCAAGAACTATATACATATAGTTATGCTGCAATGTCTTTATCTACTGCTGGAATACAGCACAGGTATGTTACTAAACTATAAATTTCAATTTATTATTAGAATTTGCCACTTTTGTTCACAAATATCTATTATCATATTAAATATGATACATGTATGAATCATATATGGTGCATGATGTGATTTTATATGTCAGGTGTTAATAAATAGAGGGTCACAAGATATAATTGAAATTACTTTATTTCTCCCTGCATAGTAAATAATTAGAAAACATCTGTCCATTATGTAAGAGTATAGTATTCTATCACATGAGCACTTTGGTTGAAAAGTTGTATGTAGGGGAATTTTTACATTTGTTTGATTGTCTTCATGAAAGGTAAGAGTCTGGCCTTGCACGTTGATAAAACCATAAATGTTGAATACTTGGTATATTAGGTGATTCTCCAAACTATATCATGTATTTATAATTTATTTAAATTTGAGGTGAATGTCAATCGTCACAAACCAATGAAGTGACTCTATCTACCATTCCAAACATTTAAGTGTTGACAGATGTTAAAAAGCCTGTTTTATGTCTTATTTTCATGGCTCGAAAAAACGGTTGGGAAAATTAAAAAATTGTTTGAGTGAAATTAAAGTTAGAGGCTGTTGCGCAGTGACGCCTTCAAAGAAAACCATTAATATGTTTGTGGTTAAAAGTTATGTTAAAAGTTAAAAAACGTGTATAATCATATTTTAATACATTTGAATAGTTTTAATTATACCTCTCAAAAAACAAATAACATATGACAAATAATTTCAAAATTTAAAAACTGCCATCTTAGGCTAGAGCTTGAACGTGACGGCGGCCTCATGAAAGGAACCTATTTGGGCAACCAAGCCTATATACAGAGTGAGTCAGAAAAAATGTCCCACGTTTTAAAAGTTGTATTGTTTGAGGTATGAATATTTAATCATGGGTTTCATGATATGTCTTGATAGAGTTATCCTCCCAGTACATTTAGGTACCATTTTAATTTGAATCTCTGCATGCATGACTGAACATCAGACATTCTTTACAAGACTGCCAGATCTCACTTGCGCCAAGTTACTGGTAGAGGAATAAAATAGTGTTTTAAACAAAGACAGCCAGACAGACAAAAATACACACACACACGAACGCACACACACGCACACGCACACACACGCACGCACGCATACACACACACATGTACACACACACGTTGGCGATTTACAGCTGGTTTGCGGGTGCACCATGTGAGAGAGAGAGTGTGTGAGAGAGAGAGAGAGGGTTGAGGAGTCCTGAAAAGGACTCTGACTCAGTAATCTTTCTTGGGGGTGTGGTAGTCCTGAAAAGGATTGTTTGTTATCTTTCTTAGCATATAGTTCTAAGGAGAACTATAGTGCTTTGAGAGGATGAGTGGCTCGACGTTTCGAACAGGTTGACTATCCGTCGTCAGGAGTGGAGAATGGCTGGCGTGCGTGAGCTTAAGTCACCGGGGTGCGGACGTCAGGGGAAAATCGGTGACCGTGTTGGCTTGAGTCATCGGGGAGTGGGCATGGATGGTCGACTGGTTCTTCTGAACGTTGACGATTGTTTCATAATTTCCCCTTTGCTGATTAATCATTGATTTTTATCAAGATTGCTGAATGTGCAAGTGGCATCACCCTGACAATCTTTCCCTTTAGTGCACGTTCACTACCATCGTCATTTCATCATCATCATCATAATTGTCATCATCTTAATCTTCATCATCATCATCATTATCATCATCATCATGAAGCACAACATCCGCCAATACGCACCAAGAGGACAGCGGCCACTCAACTTTTCGTACGAGAAGAAGAATTCCCGAAAAAAGTAACAGTTTGGGTGGGCCTTGTCGGGAATGGAACGCTCATTTGTGTGTGTGTGTGTGTGTGTGTGTGTGTGCCTGGGTGTGTGCGTCTGCGTGTGTTCGTGTGTGTGGGTGTGTTTGTATGCGTGTGTGTTTGTGTGTGTGACTGACTGTTTTTTGTTCAATGCACTGTTTTATTCCTCACCCAGTAACTTGGCGCAAGAGAGATATGGCAGTCTTGTAAAGATTGTCTGATGTCCAGTCATGCATGCAGAGATTCAAATGAAAATGGTACCTAAATGTACTGGGGGGGGGGGGGGGTAACTCTATCAAGACATATCATGAAACCCATGATTAAATATTCCAACTTCAAACAATTTTCTGACTCACTCTGTATAGTAATGTAATCAGACATAAATTGATTTTAACAGACTTGGTTTGGAATCAATAAAAAAAAAATTGAAAAAAAAAAAAAGAGTGTATGTTATTGTGGTTTGTACACGTGTGTACACATACTGAACTATACTCTTGACAGTACCTTTTAATAAAGCATTAATCAAGTAAGTCCTCATTACCAAGTCTCTTGAAGAACACTCCAACCATGCTTTCTTTAAGCAAGTCAGCAACATGTAATGAAACCAACAAACCAAACACCTTTTAATAGGTAGACCTTATGCCTAGGTATCAACACCGTCTGTTTGGATGATAAAAGCAAACGCTGCGCTGAATTGAGCCACGGTGAAACCGATGATGCCGGCAGCAACAATGTCGGGAAGATAGTCCTCAAGGAACTTCAGCTGCGGGTACAACGCTGTTACCTCCCCTGGGTTTCCCTTGATGAGGAAGAGTATGAGGGATGGTAGCAGGTCATCAGTACTAATAGAGCGAACTTTACCAGCCAGTTTACCTGTTGAAAAAGAGAATGATGAGATGACTATATACTTGTACAGCAATAACTGTTTCTCATAATTATTCTCCACTTTACGATCGAAGCACACTCGTCAGTCCATTGAGGGGATATTACGGCTTGTCAATTTTGTACGGGCCTCCACTTGGTAATCCAACCACATTGAATTACTTTCGCATGATCCGATCAGGTACTCTTGTAAACCCCTGGTCGGAGAGTAGCCACGTAGACTAAATTAGTTGCCGATAGACATTAGCACCGTTCCCAGTCAGGTACACTACTCTTTAGAGTATTGTCTATGATAAAGGTTATTTGGAATGCCTTAGATTGATATTGATTACACCGTAGGAAACGTACAGTAATTTCCAAATAACCTTGATCAATATTGCGTCTTTCTTTGATAAATGTAATGTAAACAAAAAAAAAATCTCCTAAAACACTCACACGAGACTTGTTCTTTGAGCGAACCACACACAGCTTGAAGACACATGACCAACCAGCGAAGTTTCATCAAGGGAAGGCTTTCTTTAATGACCATCCTTAAACACTTGTATGCCCGGCTGAACATGTCTTTAAAACTCACAGGTCCTTCTGGGACGATCTTCTTGCGATTATTTTGTGACTTGGAGTCAGGAGGGAGGCATTGCTTCCCAGACTTGACTTGGGACTTCTGTCCTATTTGGGGTTCAGGTGTGATTGTGGGGAGATTGCTCAGATCTGTCGACCCAAGGGTCACATCTCGCAGGAACATGTAGAGGTTGTCCATTTCCTCGACCAGATTTGAAGCGAGGCTTACATACGGGACACTGTCTGCAAAGTACAGCTTGTGTTGCTCTGCACCAACACCACTGGTAGCACCTCTTAGAGTCTGGTTACTATTTTGGCCTCGATCTGGAGTCGACCGATGCGTGTCAATATCTCCCAATGCTTTTGCTTGCCTTACTGTCGAGGTCGCACGACTCCTAGGCGTGCCGGAATCCTCTTCATCAGATGATGTTGTAATTGCATGGAGATTGCTCAGATCCGTCGATCCTAGAGTCGTATCTCTCAAGACCATCCAGAGGTTTTCCATCTCCTCTAACATATTTGAAGCGAGGGGTACATGTGAGACACTGTCTATAGCATTCTCTGTAGTTCCTGGTCTAGTGGTCTTGACAGGATCAAGGATATCGATGACCCATTCACCTCTCAGCTTCATGCTCCTAGGATCAGCAGTAGGGAGGAGCATCTGAAGGAGCTTGGCATCTCCTTCGTATGCGAGCTGTATGGAAATAATATGTTTGACATCATTAGTGATCAAATTATGTCTATACATTTCATTAATAAGTCATCGCAGTTTATCAACACATGCATGCATGAACGATATGAGAGCTATCCAAGAACCCTTTATTATTTATCATCTTCCTAATTTGCTTCTTCTCCTCCTTTTTACTTCTTCTTCTCCTCATCCTTCTTATTCTTCTTTGTCGTTATCTTCTACTTTTTTTCTTCTTCTATTTCCTCTTGGTTTCAGTGATTTTTGTTATTGAATCACAACTTATAATTCAGAAATTTATAATCACAATCAAGGTATGGGTATGACTTTTTATGAAGTTGTCATACCACTGTCCATTAAAGAATGCAGTATCACATCTAATTGATATACACCCAATATTCTCTTAAGCCCAAAGCTTTTACCTAGAATGTCTTCAAATACTGAGGATTTACAATACACAAAATCAAACAATTATCCGTGGTTAATAGAAAACGACACGAACATATATTTTTGTAATTGTGTATTAGTTTGCGTGTTTTTTAGATTGTAACTTACCACGTAAAATTTCTCAATATCTGGTATAATTGTAGGGGTGAAGAACAGGACTTCATAAGATGCCCATATGTGTGGATGACTTTGATCATCCCTCTGCTTCAGATATCCAGCTATCTTGTTAACCACCTAAATCAATTAAAAAAGGAAAAGCACACATAACATATCCATTAATCCATTAATTGATGGGTTCATAATAGTACCAACCTACAATTATTTCTTAATATATTTCGGGATGTTTCTATGTTTCATGTGTTTTCCTTGCCAATTGTAATGTCCAATTACACAGTTCATGATCAGTCTCTGGTTCCAGTAGTATAGCATGGGTCCAAACATTTAGGGGGTACTGGCATCTCTAATGGAGGGGGGGGGGGGCTTACTCGGTGAAACAAATGCAAGTTAAGAAGTTGATGCATGGGGGGGGGGGGGGGGCGTCCTGTCATATTTTCTCCTCACCCTTCCACTTTTCTTCTTTTCTCTTCTCTCTTCTCTGATGAGAGCAGGAAAATTTGATCACGTATACACTGTACACCACTGTCTGCTAATGGCAGTGCTAATGACAGTTTGACTGTTCCTTGTTGTCTTTAATTTATCAATGTTCATTTTATTACTTTTTTCTGTTTTTGAACTTTTGTAGTTCATCTGTAGATTAACTTTCATCTTTCTTTCTCTCTCTCTCGCCCCCCTCTCTCTCTCTCTCTCTCTCTCTCTCTCTCTATCTCTCTCTCCGGCCTTCAGTTCCATCTTTATGTTGAATAAATATGTCGCAAATTTCAGCATCATGTCGAATTGTCGATATACTATATTACGGAAAACCCTAAGACCCTTACCTCTGAGAAATGATCCTTGATTTTGAAGGTAAGATTTTGAGAGTAGATTTGATAGTCCGTCAGTGATGAAAAATCTTCCCTTGCCTTCTCTGAAAGATGCGGCTTTGATCCCTGATATATGCAAATAAATATAAAAAGTCATTTTTAAGGAGGTAAAAGACTTGTCTTATTTATATGCATGTAACAAAAAGAGTAAAGAATAAGGCATTTTCTCAACTGACAAAAGAGGGACACATCGTTCTTTTGAATGACAGTTACGAAAATGAAGTGTGTTGACATTACAAGAACACGAAAACAATTACATGTATATCAAACACAGTAATTCTTAGTATACACAGTAGAGTCCCACCTATTTGGTTACGTTTACATATTGCAAGAGGGGCAGTTATGATTGTGGCACTAATTATATACCCCTCGCTTTGCTGCCAATTGCGGAAAGTATAAATGAGAGAGAGAGAGAGAGAGAGAGTGAGAGAGAGACAGAGCTGAAATCCTTCAAGCCCTTCGCTTAGATTAAGATAAGAGATAATTACTAATTTACCATAAGTCTTTGATAGGAAATGCCATCTTTATCTAAACTGATTTTATTCAGTATTAATGACTTACTTTTTTCTTCGGTGCCAACTTTGGTCCCTGTGCAAGCTCAGAAATAATGTTTATTGAGCCTTCGTTGCAACTCTTCAGCACTTCTAGAATTAGAGAATGATGGCTGATCTTCATTGTGCTGTCTCGCTGAAAAATCTTTGAGAAAGTGAAAAATGAAAATAGAAATAATTCTTTGTGCATTTTGGTTATATTTTCTTTTGAAGACGAAATGTATGTATAATGAAATTCAATTGCAAATTATATCTCTTTGATCCTTTTTAAAAGTAGGTCTACTAGTCTTTACTACACCTGTTTGTATATCTAATTTCCACTTATTTCCGATTTATTTTCACGCAGCTCACAACTCTTGATCTTCCTTTATTATTATTCTGAACATTCACACAGATTCATCCCATTTCATTCTTTATTTTGATTCACTTGTCAACCTTCATTATTCCATTCTCCATCTCTTTTTGTTTTTGTTAATTTTCTCTGTCGTTGTCATATCAATGGTATTGGTTGTATTACAATGGTTAATCGTTAAGCAGACTAGAAGCCTTTCATCCTCATGAATGTAATGTCGAGCTTTTCGAGTAGTGGATAAATGTTTTAAGAGTAAACTCCACGTGGATTCCCGCAACAGATAAATTGGTCCCTTGCATGAATCCCCTAGTAGTGGCCTTGCACTCCTAACAAGTTAGACGGGAACAATTACATGTAAGGCAGGATGCAAAATTGAATATCTTTAAAGACCTTTTAAGTCCACTTGGTTTCGTTGTGAGCAAAATAAAGTATCCTCGTCTGTTTTTATTCATAATCATTGACATATCACAGCGATACTGACCTGATGAGCTTATTGGCGCAAGAGGTGGCACTTCAGTGTGGCTTTAAGTATGTTATTGACATTTTTTAGTTTGTCATGTTTGTGGTCAGTGGCGTAATGAGCAAAAACGTTTGGGGGGGGGGCTGGCAAAAAAAAAAATCCGCATCACCCCACTCTAACATGCAGGCCCCGCTGAACGTTTTTCAAAGTGAGGTCTAGGGGCAAAGCCCCATCAGGGGGGTCAGGGGGCGGAGCCCCCGAAGCTCAATGGGTATGGGCACCAGTGGTGGATCCAGGAGTTTCTTACGGGGGTGGCATGGGGTGAAATATATGTAAAACCTGATGAAGCGACAGAGCGAGGCTTTAGCGGCGAGGGGAACGACCAAGCGGGGGTGGGTCTGGGAGGGGGTTTGACCCCCTCCCAGAGTAGGAAGCATTTGCAATTTTAGAACCACATTAGACGCCTTTTCAGGCACTTCCTGGAGTAATATGACATAAAATTGCTTTCTCCTACCCCCTCCAAGAGTAGGAATCTTTTACAATGTGAGAACAACATTTTGCGCAATAATAGTCCACCGGCACTTCCTGGAAATGAGACGTTGTATTAGGTTCGTTGCCGCACAATGCACAAAGACAGTGGTCCGGTACCAGTTGTACTAAAAATTATATCGAGTGTATAAACTGTGTTGTTATGAGGGGCGTTGCTAGATCTTTTTCAGTGGGGGAGGGGGGAGAGGCCACCGATTACCTTCAAAACGAGCTACCAATTACCGACAAATATATTAATGCCAATGTCCCAATGTCTACAAATTTAACCCTGTAAACCCGGGGCCAGGAACTAAGTTATTTTTTTTCAGTTTTCCCCCTCCCGCGCGCGGAAGGTTCGATACTTCATTAAATTATTAGAAAAAGAATACGATCCGTTGTACCGTTCTAGACTTTTTATTCTTGTTTCGCCCCTCCCGCGCAAAGCGCGGAAGCTATGACGTTTCATTTATTTATTAGAGAAAGAAGACGATTCATTGTACCGTTCTCGACTCTTAATCCTTGCCTGAATTCATTTTCGCCCATCCCGCGCTTAGCGCGGAAGCTTTTACGTTTCATTAAATTATTAGAGAAAGAGGTCGATTCGTTGTACTGTTTTCGACTTACAATCCTTGTCCGAATTCAGTGTTCTCCCTCCCGCGCAAAGCGCGGAAGCTTTGACATTTCATTAGATTATTAGAGAAAGAAGACGATTCTTTAAATGATTTGTTTACTCTTAATCTTTGTCTGAATTCAGTTTCCCCCACCCCCCCTCCCGCGCGAAGCGCGGAAGCTTTCGGTGTTTCATTAAATTATAAGAGAATGAAGACGATTTGTGGTACTGATTTTTACTCTTAATCCTTGCTTTCACATTTCATTAAATTATTTGGAAAAAATACGATGCGTTTCCTTAAATTTTTACTCTTAATCCTTGTCTGAATTCAGTTTTCGCCCTCCCGCGCCAAGCGCGAGAGCTTTGAAGTTCAATTAAATTATTAGAGAAAGAAGACGATTCGTTGTACTGATTTCTACTCACTTTGTCTGAATTCAGTTTCTCTCCCTCCCGCGCGATGCGCGGAAGCTTTGACGTTTCATTAAATTATCAGAGAAATTGTCTGAATTAATTTTTTCTTTTCTTTGTCCGATAAAAAGTCACAGTTTGTAGGGAGAAAAAAAAATTGCCGGCCGACCGACATTAAACATCTCACCGACTTCAAACTTCTAAATTGATATAGTACACGAGCTATATAGAGCAAGAATACCGACACAGCGGACCCGACACAGCAACATAATTATCTATGCGTATCTTTCTTGCCCCTTCGACGTGGCGACTCCACCCAACATTCCCTTTGCTCTCTTACTCCCACCCATCTTCTCTTAGGCTATTAATACCACCCTCTCTCTCTCTCTCTCTCTCCTCTCTTTTGTTTGTCTTGTTTTGTTTTG